AACAAACCTGGGAGACTCCTGGGCACGCTGGGATGAGCTGTTCACGTAGTGGTGACTGCAGAGGGCCAGGGGTGCAGCCCTCAGTGGATCAGGAGGACAAACAGCCAGACGAAGAGTGATCTAGTGTTTGACCTTCTGGGACCCATATGAAGCTGACAGCCTTGTCCCACCTTAAAGCTGACTTTGCACCCAAAGACATATCGCAACACCCCTGAAGCATTTGAAAGGATACATCCCCCCTGTAGTGCCTGAAACGCAGCTTACCAACGACTTCTCTCCCTCCCTCATTTCTCCCACAAGTCCCTCCCTGGGCTGCAGCACCGTCTCCACCCTGCGGGCGCGCCTCCTGGCTGCGCAGAACTCTCTAGTAACAGTTATCGACTTGGCTTGAACTTAAAAAGAGTGAGATGCCTACAGGAGCAAGAAATCTGTAATCAGAATCACTGCACGCCTCCCGAGAGAGGACTCCGGCCCTGTCCAAGGCCTCTCAGCAACAGAGGGGCAGTACCAGCACCCATCGTCCCCACTTTCCAAGAGAGAAGCCACCACCTGCCCTGGGTAGCAGCAAAGGCTGGGGAGAGTGAAATGAATAACCCCACTGAGAGTTTGGCAGTGAGTGAAGGTCTAGCCACTGGGGACCGAGCTCCTCCTGCCTGGGTGCGTGCTGGCCTGGGTCTTTGGGTGTGGAAAGAGCATCCGCTGATGCCTTTGTTCCATACCCCCTCCTCCCCTTCCTTCCCCTCCTTCCCTCCTCCCCTTCCTTCCCCTCCTTCCCTCCTCCCCCCTCCTCCCCTCCTCCACCTTCTCCCCCTCCTTCCCCTCCTTCCTTTCTTCCCCTCCCCTCCCTCCTCCCCTCCTTCCCTCCTTCCCTCCTCCCCCTCCTTCCCTCCTCCCCCTCCTCCCTTTCTTCCCCTCCTCACTCTCCTTCCCTCCTCCTCTTCCCCCCTCCTTCCCTCCTCTCCCTCCTTCCTTCCTCCCCCTCCTCCCTTTCTTCCCCTCGTCCCCCTCCTTCCCTCCTCTCCCTCCTCCCCCTCCTCCACCTCCTCCCCCTCCTTTTCCTCCTCCCTTTCTTCCCCTCCTTCCCTCCTCCCCCTCCTTCCCTCCTCCCCCTCCTTCCCT